TTTAAGGCATTTATTAATAATGTACTATCGCAGTACCATTTGTTTCCAATCATTTCATACCAAAAACAGATTATATTTGTGACAAATTATATGCCATGGTCGATCTGCCATGAGTGCCATTATTTTCTATTTGTATGGTAATTGATTCAGTATGGCGATCACATGTATTTCTCCTTAAATTTTTCCATACTGGCTCAATTATCATGTTGCAGGAATTATATTGATTATATTGTTGAAGATTTGGTTATGACATTGGTTTTTTACTTCAAAGCATTTTGAGTAAAAATAGTGATGGAAATTTATGTACCAAGTGTGCTTTAATTTCTTATAAATAAAGACCGATTTTTTTACATCAATTTGTTTTATTTTCTCCATATATAGCTAAATGAACTTTGACTGAAGCATTTTATTTGGGGGGGAGCATTGGCACGTTGGGAATGAAATAGAAACATGAAAAAATAGTAAGGCACTTTTATTAAGTTTTCCCAGTCATACAAAACAAGTGTATAACATTCTTTCATAAATTAACATAAATATCAACTATTTGCAATTGCAAACGGGCAGTGTCGCTCATTCAACTACTAAAAATCTTAGTATTTATACCCGGATAATCCAGAGCTAGATACCGCCAATATGATCTAAGTAGAGGAAAAATATAATAGAGGGTTCATTCTTTATTCAACAAATTAGCTGACATCTGGGAGACTCCTTATAATAACTTTTCATTGCTTTGTGTGCGGGGTAACCAGTTTTAATTAAAAAAAAAGTGAGTGAAAGAAATTCAAATTTGGACCGTATTTTTTTTCGCTACCTTTGATCACAGTTCCAAAAACTTGCACAGTAGTGGCATCGACAAAATGATCGTTCACATAACGAATTGAAAAAAATGTATGCCAAAAAATGGCGTAAAAGAGAGATATGGTCCAAATTGGAACCGACATTCAAACTTTCCCTGATATCTATCGCCCTGAAGCACTGTAACGCTCTGTATCTAATCTATGAACCCTACTATCATCTCATATTCATCAAAATTCTCGCCCACTAAATTCTTTGAAATAAATAGATTTTCTTTCATGGAAAATAGGTGATATTAGTCCTTGTGAGTAATAAATAAACACTGGTTATGACTTAACCAAATATGTTCAATTGTTCAATCTCAAATCATTAAATGACGGTGAAAATATTTGAATGGCCATGGTTAAATGTTAGAAAAGCGTGGGGAGAATCAACAATACTTGACCAGGTTGGACCCAAGTAAGAAGTATTTAGATGGGTATCTGCATAAGCTGAAAGGCCCCAAAATCAATTAAATGAATTTAGAACTTGAGCATGATTATCACTAACTGTTATATTTTTCAATTCTTTATGAACTTTCCTGATCAATTGGAAAAAAGCTGTTAAGTATGTATGGTTCAGTATGAACATTGATGAATCGATCACCAGCCTAAATTCATAGGGGAATAGGCCTTTTCAAATAGATATATTTTCAACACGCATGCGCTCGTTTTTAGATCCAGAATTTGATTGGGTAATGCGAAGGTGAAGTCTCATTGGCTATAGTTCCGACACAAAATTCTGATTGGCCATTTCGAATATGGCGGTTATTATTGAAGTTATGTCAACAGTGTCAACCACCATGGGCATTCGTCATTGAGAAACAACAATAACAATATAGTATTTCCGTTTCTATATTCCTGGTGAGTATTAATTGTATTATATTAATTTAAATCGAAAAACCGTTACTAAGGAGTGTGGTGCAAGTGTTTCGGTGAAAATGGCCGCCACTGTCGTTGGATGCGAGATGTAAACACAGATAGTCATTTGTCATCTTAATGAAAAGGCCTATTGCACAGAATGTGAATGCTGATGAATTAATTGAATAAGATACTGAGAAACGGCCAAAGGAGGATCAATAACAAAAAAAAAGAGGCAGAGTGCTGCTCCAACACCATAACTCATTGCAAATCGCAATTTCAAACAACAACAATAATAATGATTACGAGTTTCATTTTATACAGGGTGGTTCAAACTAGATATTGTAAATTTTGAGAAAATATGCTTCCCATTGTGCTGAATCAGAAAATACACAACAATATGTCTCTCACTTGCTTGTTTAGAAATTTACAGAGCGTCAGTTTACATAAAACCAATCCTATTACTATCATAATTCTAACCAAGCTGCAATTCTAACGGGATTCCGTTTGACATACCAGTGGCATTCAAGGAGGTTACTTGGAAATCACTGTAACTTTCTTAATGAGGGAAAGAGAGAGACATATTGTTATATGTTCCGAATCAGAACAAAGAGAAGAATATTTTATATAGACGACAGCCTCATTTTAAATTCGTTTAACTCAATATTTTTGTTATTTTTGTAGCTGAGGAATATTTTGCAAGAGAGCATCGATCAGCCTTTGCATTATAGTTTTTTATGACAAATTGTGAACTTTACAAGTACCATTCTTTTCAATGAAATAACTCAATATTTCACTATTATGGTTTTGTTTTATATGAATTTATACTTTTGAGGGTGAGTCCGTTTTTTGTTGCAGGACGTCAATAGCTTGAACACATATTTCCAAGATGAAAAGTTCATATGATTTTATATGCATGGGAGCTTTGTTTTCGATAGGTTTCATTGGGATACTTTTTGCTCTCTTATATGTTTTTCGAAAACTGTATTGATTTTGAGATAAATGCCAAAAATAATCCACTTGTGATAAAACTTAATTTTTCGAACACACTATTCAACATTTTTTAATAATTGACTAGAAGACCTGAAATGATCGAAAACTTTCATGAGATGTGTTGATGAAACTCAGTGGCAAAACTTGAAAAATACAAATATAAAAAAATACACCACCTATACCGACTGACACAGACTCATGGTATACCTCCCATTTCTCCTTTTCTAGCTATATTTCTGAAATTTGGAACATTGAATATGCTCACTAGAGGGTCTTTCTCACATTTTATTGAACTTTGGAGGCGAATATCTTCATAATCCTTTGAAATAACTCATCAAACCCGGTATTGGTGAATTCGTTATAATAATCTTTAACCCATTATGGTGTTCCATTTGAAAATCGAGAGTTGATGTCTTCCAGAAAAACCGGAAGAAAAAAAATTCCAAATATTTGTGAAAGTGAGCATATTCAATCTTCCAAATTTCAGAAATATATCTAGAAAAACAAAAGAGAAAAATGAAGGTATACTATATGAGTCAGTATCACCCGGTATAGCGGAAAAGAGGCTCCAACGCATATATGTTCAGATGAGATTTTCATCAAAACTGACACACCCTGTAAAGTATGTTGCTCTGTTGCCCTATAAAATATCCACATCAACAAAAATATGAAGATATTTTGCGAATTTATCAAGTGTGACATACTGTATAGTAAAAAATATTTGTTTTTCTACAAATTATAGTACTATTGAAGGGGAAGACTGATATTCACAATACAGATGTCGGCGTCAAACAGTGAAATCCGTCATTCTATGGAATGCCTAGTCACGTATTGCCGGAAAACAGTGTGACTCTAAATTTCGTACACCGTTTGCCTAATAGTTTCGGGCATTCCCTGTATTGACGAGAGGAAGGTTAATTTAGACCGAGTCAGCTTAGGTTGTTTAGAAGCAGTAGTCTCTTCTGTTCTCTCAAGTAATTTTATGAAAAATATACTTGCTAGAAAGAAGGATCATTTAGGCGGAAAAATAGTCTCCATTCTTATGCATATGCAGAAAGGATAATTTCCTTCCTCAACCTTCCGGCAAACAGAGTAACGGCTGAAAATGGAAGTTACGCTGTTTGCCGACAATACGTGAAATGACTAGGCATTCCAGGTAGAGGTCGGAAAGTATCGATACTGTTGGGTATCGATACTTCGATACTGAACGCACCAAAATATCGATATATCGATACTTGGCATCGATACTCCGATATTCTGACCAGTATCGATATATCGATACTACAAAATAGAGCATTTCATCAATCAATTGTCGAAAAGTCAAAAGTGTCACTGTCCAACATTCGAATGTAGCATAGGAGCAATTTTATTGCTCTGAAACTGATCCACTGTCTGCTGAAAAGCTGTGTTCCGAAATATAAAATCAAAAATACAGTGCTGTAATTCGGAACAGCAGCAGTTGATCAGCTGGTGAAATTTGTCAGTTGTCATTGATCTGGCAGATGCTCCTGCTTGAGCTAAATAAATAACAGGCATTTTCTGATATCAAAATGAAATTATTAAGGTATTATAGATAAGCCAACACTTAATGTTTGAAAAACAACGGAAATGAATGTGTCATTCCTTTCCCCTCAAAAATAATGACAGTTCACTGAAGCCACACTACCTTTTGATAGTCAGCAATTCCAGCAGAATGTTGAGTCGAAATATTTGGAATGAATAGTATATCTGCTCACGAGTATCTGTCACTTTCAGTCAATTTTTTTGATTTCGGAATGAAAATTCAGCAGATTCAGTACTGTCAGTTCAATTCGGAATATAGCCTATGTCCGATAACCTTTTCCTAGTTTGCTCAAAACAGTTCCCTCATTAATCCTCCCATCTATATACATATAGATATATCATAAATTATGAATTTTATGCATAAATCCGAACTCCAACCGAAGGTGACAGTTGGCATTCGACAAATATAATGCCATAGTCAGTATCGTTCAGTATCGATACCAAATAAAAATGTATCGATACTTCGATACTCGTCTTGGTATCGTTATATCGATGTTTAGTATCGATACTTTCAGACCTCTAATTCCAGGGAATGACGGAATTCACTAATTGACGCCGACACAGACAGACTTATCCAAATTGTAAATAAACTGGCAAATACACAAATATTTGGTACCCAGCAATGCTCTCAAATTTGTATAACATATCGATCAAAAATACTGTAACTTACTTTTCTGAGTCCTAGATTAACTCAAGAAACTAATACTAAAATCACAAATTTCCAACAATTCTTCATAGGGTTCCACTCTTTCAGTCGCGAACTCTCATATTCCAAATACTGGTTCTCCTCATACCAACGGTAGGCCTAGCTACGGAACTAAATTTGAACTTGTTGATTTGAACTCTAGCTCCTAAACCCTCCTGCACCAGTCTTAATTCGTCTATATCTACGTAGCCACCATGGATGTCGAGATAGGAAAGGTTGAATAGTTTCTTGAGGAATCTGAAATGGTTTTTAAAAATTCTACATAATTCAATATAATATGTGAAAGAATGGAGTAAAAATGCTGCCAGTGGTTTCGAAAAAATGAATGCAGAATACAAGACAGAGCGGCCAAATAAAATTAATAATCCCCCGCGCCACTATGATTAAGGATTCTATAATTTACTCTGGAATAAAAATATACAATCATCTTCCAGATGAAATAAAAGGTATCGCATGTTACAAAAAATTCCGTATGAAGGTGAAAGCATTACTACTACAAACATCATTGTACCAGGTGATTCAATAACGGTGACGAGGTACAGTATCTCAGGAACTAATAGTTTATTAAACACGCCTCCTAGCGAGGGCGGTAAGAACCAGAATGGTATTTATGGATCTTTATTTTATTCACCAAACCTTCGTTTCTCTAATCATACCTTTTGTTAGCAAATTATTAGTTCCTGAGATACAGCTTCTCGGTTACCCTTTTTGAATCACTTGGTACAACTTGACTGAGTGTTTTCCACAAAGCTATAACTACAACTAGAGTATTTCAAATTGTTGTGTATTTTAAAACTTATATTGTCTTTTTTTTATGTATGACAAATTGATATTATACAGGACGTGGAAATTCTGAATTGAGAAAACCTAATCACGAATCTGCGAATGAGGATCAATAAAAATAACAAGTTTCCATCGTTCAAGTTTGAACCCCTTGATTGGGTGAAACTATTGAAACGGAATATTCTCAGATGATTTATGAACATGAAAAAATGGATATATATACAGTGAGGACCAAAAGTCCGTCGCCCCCCCTGTAACTTCTTTATTCTACATATTACAAAAAAATGTTAAATACATAAGTTGTAGGGTTTCATTCGATCTCTTTAATGGTTTAAGCTTCATTCATACAGAGTGTCTCTAAAAATCACGGTGACTTAGAAGTTATTTTTTTTAAATGGGACACCCTGTATTTCATTGCATTATTACATTCTACGTTGAATTCTGAACAAGTTTGATAAATGGTTTTCTATCAAAAAGTTCAAAAAAATCCAACACCTACCTCCTCTACCTATCCTCATTAGGTACACACGATGTACCACGAACATTATAGTAATTACCTTTCGTGCGCTCCAAGAGAAGAAAAAACGTCAAATTTAACATGTGTCATGGATCCGTGAAAAAATTCCGGAACGAACAATTTTTTCAGAAGTCTCGATACCTATGCTACACGCTTGTCAACGTATGTATGTCCACCCTCTATTATATATATATAATATTCTGTTCTCGAAATTATACTCATATGGTGTGCGTGGGGTTGCTCTGAATTGTTAACAATAACAATAATAATAATGAATCCAGAATAGTCAATTCGAGCCGGCTTAATGTCAATCTGGGCGTTCCCCAGGGCTCCGTATTGGGACCAATTTTGTTTCTTTTTTATATAAATGAGCTGGACACTTCAGCTCAAATCGTCATATACGCCGATGATACGTCAGTACTAATATCAAATAAAGACGAGGATTCTCTTAAAAACAATCGTGAACAGTTACCTACTGAATGAGATTTACTCATGGTGCAGTGCAAAACTCACTTTTATTCAACACCGAGAAAACCCATAGAGGTTTCATAATTCACAGAAAAACATTTCAGAACTAAATATTACAGTAAATAGTAAAACTTTGACTGCAATAGATAAAGCAGTTTTCTCAAGATTAACAATAATTGATGAATGTTTGAGTTGGAAATTTCACTGCAATAGCTTTATTTCCAATCTGAACTCATTCTGCTACATGTTTCAACATCTGCGTGGAGTATTGCTTGAGGAACAATTGATGATGTTACATGCTCAAGTTGTTTTGAGAATACGTTATGGTATTCTTCTATGTGGTGGATCCATATTATCACCGGATGTGTTTATTGCACAAAAAATGGTCCTCAGAATTATAGCAAAGGTTCCAAAAACACATTCTTGCAGAAAAATGTTTCCCAAAAATAAACTACTAACTGTCATAGGCATATTTATATTTGAGTTGTGTCTCAATGTCTTCAATAATAAGAATGATTTTTCTTGAAATGAAAATATTCATAATATTAAAACTAGGCGTAATGACGAATTCCACGTTCCATTTGTCTAATACAAGGTGAGTTCCAACTCTCAGTCATACGTAGGACTGAGATTATTCAATCATCTCCCGCGTGAGGTCAGAAATATTGTGAGCTTGAATAGTTTCAAATATAGGTTAAAACATTTCCTCACTGAAAAATGTCCCTATACACAGGAGGAGAGTATTTTGCTATTTTGGTCCACATGTACAGGGTTAGTGTTCTCATGTTATTCATGTTAGTTCATCTCAACCACTTTATGTACTTAAAATTTTTGTATCTTTGTGTATTGCTCCTTTATATATGTTCTACAATCTTTCAGCACTGCCTATATTTATTATTAGTGCTACTATCAGGTATATTTGACTATTTTTTGACTATTCCTATACATGTATATCATTTCCATTGGAAAAAAGATATTATCATTATTATTATGAGCAGTCAATGTGTTAACATAGCTTTTTCTGCTAAAAATACCATTTATGCACGACCGGGCGTGAAATAGCACATTACCGCCCGGCTTTGCGGCACTCCTGTAAAATTTAGGACATTTATAATTCAGTTATGATGGCTTCTTATCTAATATTACAGTTCTCTTGATATTATATTTCTGAGATGCAATATGATATGATCAATCCCAGAATAAGTTTTTTAGTAGTCTATTCCTCATTCAGAAAAATTGACTGAGTTTCCATGGTAACGTCGATTCCATCAATTATACTCCTCACTGCAGCCATGAGGTATTTCTGTCTTGAAGAGGTATTCACAATGAAAAATCAAATATACTGGTCATGCATAAAATTTTGTTTGTAACTTGATTTCATTGACCTAGGCCTGTTAATTACTTACACACTACAGTTCATGAAAGCCTATTTTATGCCCTTGATTTATAAATAACTATTATAGTATTCAAGGTAACCCTACAGACAAAATCAATGATAGTGATATGAAATAGATTGTATTGATTGTAACATTGAATATATTGGGCAAACACATCAAAGCATTGGCACTAGATTTAAAGAACATTTGTAATTTCAGATAGAGTTTGATGAATCAAGTGCTGCCCAACATATCCTAGAGCCTAGTAACCCTTTCATTTTAGATAATTTAAGACTTCCTAAACAGGTGAAGAACAATAGGAAATTGAAGAGTTTTGGGAAAGTATGTATTCACATTAATCAAAATTGAGATCATTCAATACTTCTAGAAAAAATATTGAATGTGTAATTCATTTTTTTGGGCAAACCAATTAGACTGGAAATTTTGATAATATAATTTTGGATACTTCACCATTCAGGTGACTTACTAAAACTCATGTTCACAAAGGGAAAATATGCAAGTCAACCATGAGGATGAATCATTTTTTAACTCAAGCAATAATTGAAGGCAACCCTTTGGTTTGTTTATTTTGTTTTCTAACAAAAAGTTGTTTTTTATGTGTCTAAGAAACCTGGAATTGCAACCATTATCAAACATATAAAAATAGGAACCTGTTTTCCAATTTTCACTTGAATTTAGGTGTATTTTCTTGTAATAATGTGATAGTAAAATAAAAATTCAATACTTGTATAGGACAAAATCATACTTACAGTAATGATTTATAAGTTATCAGATAACACCTAGATAGAGCCAAAAAATTTAGGTCTTCTAAGACTACTAATTGCCTGACTGCATCTCCAGTTATGGAAGTACAATCTGACAGGTCTAATTCTCTTAGTCTTGGACAGCTAGCAACTAGGTCAGTAATATCTAAAAAAAAAAATAATATTTATGATTTTTGCTCAATAAGAAAATTAAGTTTCACCCTTGATTATATACACATTTCACTTACTATTATTAGTCAACAATTTTCTGCAACCAGAAAAATTTAGCCTGTCCATAGTGGGTGGTAGATTTTGACAAACATATTCAATACTGGAGGCATTTAAGTAGGTCCAAGCCAGATTCAATTCTCTGATTCTAAAAAAGTAATTACAAGTTGATTGAAGAGTTTCATAGATGATTTTTTCAACAGTTTCTACTGTCAATTTTGTATTTCTGTTTCCTTTTGTAGTAGGAAAGAACAATCAAAAAAATTTAGAATTAAAATGAGATAAATATCAAAGAAACATACTTTCTGCAATTCTTAAGAAAGTAATGTAGCCCATCATCCATCATACCAGTGACCATAGCAAAATTCACAACTTCAATATCCTTATTGGCTGATAGAGCTATCAGGACATCATCATTGACAGGTACATTTTCAAGGCTTAATTTCTTCAAACGTCTACACATACTGAAAAGTATTGTGAGGCTCTGTGGTGAAATGAAGGACATGCTCAAATCAAGGTAGAGCAGTCGAGATCTGAATTCTGGCAGAGCTGCTTTCACTCCTGGTAAAATTATAGGATGAGAAATCTACAAATATAAAAAAATACATGTGCATAAAGTTAGTTTCTATTTTTCTCAAAATTTACCTCAGATCTAGCCAGTCTAAGAATAATGACTTGTTTGCTAATTATTTTTCCTAATTCTCCAGGGTACAGATGCCTATTGGATACATCCATTCTAGTCCAAAGGCTCTCATCCTGGGTCAGTCTGTGGAATCTTCTACATACTAAAGAAATATCCATGAGGTGTATTTTAGGCAACCACCTTAAAATGTGGAGGATCACTTCATCTGAGAGCATATTGAAATAATCTAAAAAATAATGGAAATTATAGTTGTTATATATGCAGCATGTGGATAGCATTTACTTGTTTTGTCAGTTGGACGAATCATTGGCTTTTTTACCAAGATAGCATCCCATTCTCCTAGAGTTAATTTATCTAAAGATTCCTTTGTTAAAGTAGATTCTAACACAGTCAGCTGGAAATTACATATTGACAACATTGAGAAAATAATTCATATCAAATAAAGATATGAATGACTTAAGAGCATGTAAGAACATGTCCAAATGGGCCAACTTACTTGCTTATCTCTAGTATTTGGTGTCATAGAAACACAGGAGACGTCAATAGCTCCTGGCTCATCTTTATTAAATATTGTATCATCATCAGTGAGAATATCATCTGGATCACAATCCAAACGTCCAACTCCATGATCAAAAACTTCATGTAGAACAACCTCACTTCTATTCAAACTCCATCTATCGTTTTTGTCCAGTTCATCGACATCTTCATCATATCGTGCACGTTTCCTAAAAATATGCATTTATAGGTGAGAAATGAATAAAACTCAAACTATTTTCTGACTTACCGTGCTGGTGATCTTCCAATATTCACATCTACAGGTTGCAATATACTAGACATTGTGGTTGTGGAAATTTGTAATTTTGCACTATACTACGACTTCTTGCATCGTACTTGTTCCCTCCAATTCCTCCAAAGAAAATGGCAGGAAATCACAAATCTGACACAATCTAACATTAAAAAAAATTGAGGGTTAAGTTTTAAGTGGTTAAGTTTTTGCGAAATGTCAAATTTCTTCTCCTTTTTTTTAGTGGGAAATACTGCAATCTTTGCTCCAACTATATTTTGACCTACTCACCATTCTTATCATTTCTAAAGACATACGTAGCTTGGGCCGATTGGATGAGGGGCCAGGTGTCAGGTTAGGTGAGCGGTGACAGCTGATTTAGTGCTGCCAGCTGATACTCGAAAATTAATAACCTCAACAAAAAATGTTAGCATTTTCAAATTTCATCAAACAATTAAGTTCAAAAAATGTACGACATATCCGAGTTTCAGAGGTAAAGTTCATATTGAATATGATATTCATTCATATCTTCTAATGTTCTTCATCGTAGATTCTGTCAAGCGGGCGAACACAAGTCAATTGCCGCAAATACTGCAATAATGCCCCTTTTCCAAAACAAAAGCCCCCAGGTAGAGGAATAGGACCTATAACATGGAAAAACCTTGCGATCACTTCAGTATTAGGTGGAAGTCTTTTAGCATTTATGTGGTATTTGAAAAAAGAAAAAGAAGAAGGTTAGTTGCTGATTTCTAAAAAATGTGATATATTTCCTTATCTAATCTTTGCTTCCAGCACAAATGAGAGAAAGGCAACGAATGTTGGGTAAAGCAGCAATTGGTGGGAAGTTTGAACTCATAGACAGTGATAAGAAGTTGAGGAGCAGTGATGAATTCCTTGGAAATTGGCTCCTAATTTACTTTGGTTTCACTCATTGTCCTGATATTTGTCCAGATGAATTAGAAAAAATGGCTGCTGTGATTGAAAACTTGGGTAGAAAAATTCCTCATATGAAACTGAAACCACTCATTGTGACTCATTTTCAGATGGTTCAGATGAAATGCCTAGAATACAACCACTTTTCATATCTGTTGATCCCACCAGAGATACACCTGAAGTGGTTGGCAAATATTGTAAGGAGTTCAGTCCCAGATTACTAGGACTTACTGGAAGTGAAGAACAAGTTTCAAAAGCTTGTAAAGCTTATAGGGTATACTTTAGTGCTGGCCCAAAAGACTCTGACAGTGATTATATTGTAAGATAATGAATAATAGGTGCTCTCATAAGTTTATGATAACATTTCTTCCAGGTGGACCATACTATAATAATGTATTTAGTGAATCCTGATGGGGGATTTGTTGATTATTATGGACAAAACAGATCAGCTTCAGATATAGCTACTTCAGTGAGAGTGAATGTAATGAAATATAACCAAGCAAACAAAACTAGTTGGTTGTGAAATATTTATAATTATACAAAATATAATAATATAAAATAGATATTATTGAAATAGCAATTTTATTGGTAAATAAACTACCTATACCTTTACCATCTATTCTATACCATAGATTAATCTGTGCTAATGCCCTATACCTATCTGAAAATTTGAATTACCTATACCTCAACATGCTTCAGCTAAATGTAGTTTTATAGTTTTGTCTGACTAGTGACTATAGGTAGGGAGTTTGTGAAGTTTTCTAAGTTAGAGCATTGGAAATTAATTCAAGTAATGAGTATTTCCTTAGATCCTGTATAATCTGAGAAATCTGAGTATTTCTATTGTGCACTCTCACTTGATAATTAGGAATTCAAAATTACCTGAGACAAATGTCAAAAAGCAGAGCCTGCAACATAACGAACCAAAAATGTTTTTGAAGATACTATTTTTGAAATTTTTACATAGAAAATATGTTCAGTTTTTTCGAAGAAATTTGATTTGTTGAATAAGCAAATACTTAAAAGATGCGTTATTTCGGAAGACAAGATACAGTTTTTTTTTGATTTCTTGGAAAATTTCCTTTTTGAATGTTGGTTGCACTGATCCAGTCCTGTCCTGTCTATTCGCGAGTCCGATCGGCGATCGAGTACGCCATGAGCCAAATCTTGTAAGAGGGAGTGTGATTTGTTTTCAATTTTACCAAAATATCAAGACTTTTTGGTAAGTTATTTTTTCTTATGCCATTCAATTTGATCTCATTGATACCGTTGCAAAAGTTTGTATGCTCGAAAATCTTTGCATTGTTCTGAAAGCTTTAAAAAATGCACACCTAGAGACAAGGTGATACAAAACAATTATATGATACTGAATTGATATTTATATACGAGTATTGTGTCTAGTAACACTATTAAATATTCGGTTTGAATTTCTTTCCCAAATATTTCTCAGCATTATATTGATGAGAAAAGTGTAATGTCTGGTTGAATCTCAAAATGGCCGACCTGTGTCAAGACTTGATTTAATTTTGTAAAGGGTCACATTCCGACCGGGTACCTGCTCTCAAGTCGTAAATACTTGTGAACCTGTATTTATTAGTATTAGTGGACCCTGCCTATTTTGCCGCACTCACTGCCCCAATCAGCAAGAATACCATCATGTGATTGCACAAAGGAGCTTGACTTTGTTTTTCTTCAGTTTGAAAATGTCATCAGCTGGTTCCAGCGGGTCGGGCCGTGGCAGAGGCGGTCAGGCCGCAGTGGGCGACCAAAAGGAAGCTAAAGAGAGCAAACCAAACCCAAAAATGTCAAAAGCCCTTGGTACTTCTGCCAAGAGGATTCAGAAAGAGCTGGCTGAAATCACCTTGGATCCTCCACCAAATTGCAGTGCTGGGCCCAAAGCTGAGAATTTCTATGAGTGGGTGTCTACTATCTTGGGGCCTCCTGGATCTGTATATGAAGGAGGTGTGTTTTTCCTGGACATACATTTTTCTCCTGAGTACCCCTTCAAGCCTCCAAAGGTTACTTTCCGTACTAGGATCTACCACTGCAACATCAACAGTCAGGGGGTGATTTGTCTAGATATTTTGAAGGACAACTGGTCACCAGCTCTAACTATCTCTAAAGTTCTACTGTCAATTTGTTCCCTGCTTACAGATTGCAACCCAGGTGAGTTTGTATTCAAAGAGTTATTTGTTAGGATCAAATCTGATGCCATCAATCTACTCAGATCGTTTCCTTATAACCCATGAGGAAGCAGGGTTGTACAAGTCTTTCATCATTCATTTATTAATACAGGGTTTTGGACCCTTGAAATATATTGTTGATTTGCTGCTTTCCACTAATTCCAGTTATGGAGATGGAACTATAACACATTCAGTTGCTTCAATGCCTGTAAACAACAATGATCATTTATAGAAACCCTGTAGTATTTGATACAATGATTCAGAAATAACTGTTCACTACTTGATGACATTATGCATTATTTTTTACCTCTCTTGGGTTAGTAGGTACTTCAAAATAATGGAATACAATTTTTCATTGAAACAAAGCCCATAGTAATAATATTTGATCATTAAAATATATTGTTGCTTCAGTGGGAAATGTAATGAAATATGAAATAAGTACTTTTAAGTCCCTATCATAAAATTCATAAACATATGTTCTTGGGATCTACAATAAAAATTTGGATCAAAAACCATTACAAAAATAGCTTTTGTTGATTTTCTCAAATAACTTTTTTTTAATATCCTTGCCATCTAAATCATTTTTCAATTTACCACCATACCAGTGATCACCTATCATGTGTCAAAATCGACATGCCTAATAGATCCCTGAGAAAATAATGTTCAATATTCTAATAATAAACTTTTCCCCTATATATTATGAACTTCATGGATGAAACTACACAGTGAGGTCCAGAAGTCCATTGCTCCCCTTGTATCTCCTTTATTTTACTTAATATTATCTATTCAATGGTTTAAGTTTTAATTTATATTGTGTCTCCAAAAAGCATTGCAACATGAAATTTTATATTTTCAAATGCATTTTTAGATTCTACATTCAATTTTGAACAAGTTTGATCAATTGTTTTCTATCACAAAAGTAAAGAGTTTTGAAATTATGAACAATTGTAAATCATTTTCTCCACAATTTCAGCACCACTTCAGTGGGGAAACAGTTACAAATGGAACACAATGTGATTTCACTTTCCTATCATAACCTTTGAAAAATTTGTGAAGTAAATTAGAAGTTATGGGAGGGGTGGAGAGGTGATGGACTTTTGGTCCTCACTGTATATAAATCAGGCACTTCTTATATCCTTACATAGATCACCTTGTATAACTATAACCATAATATTGATTGATTGTCTTTATTATATAGAGATATATACAACAAAACATACATATAACATAATCAATCAAAACAATAATTGCTCAATTATTGTTTTTCATAAATAAAAAATATAATAAAATATAAAATGAAAATTGTGAATGATTGGTAGATATGGAATTGAAGTTTACTGAGCAGATATTAAAACAACAAATTTTGACTTTATATAATGAAACTAGATTCAGCAAGTCCTTAGGTTCATATAGATTTACAGTTGATTCTAAAAAAGGGAAATTGAAAATGCACTTTATTGTTTTATTTTGTAATTTCATGAGTGGCTTCAAATGTGAAATAATTATACTTTCCCAAATAGATATTAGATATTATAAATTTGAATAAAAAATACAGAAATAAATACTCTTTTCTAACATAACAGGAATAAAATTTTGAATTTTATATTTGATACCAGCAATAGGATTAGATTTTTTCCTCAAATGAATAAGTAGAGTCCACGATAATTGTTCATCAATATCAAGACCTAAAAATATTGTTACATTTGTATATTCAATGGATTTGTTATTGAAACATATTGGGGTATTATTCAATATGTCTGTTGTTCTTCTTGAGATGTACATATATGTAGATTCACTATAATTAAGAGTCAACTTATTGGTCATTCAAAATGATATTTGTTTCAAATAATTATTGATATCATTATTGATTGACTTTGTTTTGAAAATAAAATTGAAAATTGTGTTATAGCTGATCCACTGGTTGGAAGCATAGCCACTCAATACCTGCAAAATAGAGAAGAGCATGACCGCATTGCACGATTGTGGACCAAGCGTTATGCTACGTGATTTGATGGCTCCCACTCACTACCCCTAGTGTCTACCCCCTTTGCCAAGAATGGCATTATTTTTTCATCCACCCAACATCGATTTTGTCTGTCCTCAATGTTCATGTATACCTTTTAAGTTTGTATTATCTAATTTAGTTCCATAACATAGGTAATACAAAATTTGTTGTGAAAATATAATCATCAAAATAACTTTGTAGTTCTGACTCAGCAATTAGTGAAATTCACTCAATTTGGTTATTGGAATATTGGAAAGTGATAACATATTTTTGTTCATGTTTTTTTTCAGTAAATATCAATGAGTTTTCAATTCAAATTGATGTATAACTCACTGAATAACCAATGAGTCATGAGATAATTCCTATTCTTTGTGTGAAACACTATCATAAACAAATATAGGGTGTTGATTTTTATTTTGAAATGCCAAATTATACAAGAAATTTTCTTTCTCAGTTCCCTTTCTAAATAATCTACTACCTTGAATAATATATTTTGCAGACAATAAAAGTTGACTGGCTGCTATGATTTTCAGAAGTCATGACTTCATTTCAACCAGGCAAATTATTTGTGGAAATAAATTGCAGGTCTGTTGTTGACTTTCAGATAATACCTACATATTGACTGTTTATGTCTAGAGGACTTGACTGTTATAAGCACAAAAATAAACAGCTCAAGCCTTGAGCATATGAACAAAAACAGGTTTGTATGCTCTTCTTTGGTTCTTTAACAACAGTAACAAATGGATATTGCTTTGTCACCAATCAAATGATGTGTTTGGTTGAAATGAAACATTTGACTGTCTAGTCTCTATATCATACAGATTCTTCCTAATCTTCCTAACTAGTCTAAACTTCATTGTTTTTGTAGATATTATTGTAAGATTATTCAAAAATATTCCTGTGTTCAATGGGAGATAAATTACAACTTTGAACAAATATATTAGCATACTAATCATGGGAATAGATTGATAGCACTTCTCTATCTAGCCCTGCAACTAAAACCATAGGTATATACAGGGTGTCCGGAAATTATGCGCAAAAAATCAAGGGGGTGATTCTGCATGAGAAAACATGAGATTTATTTCATATATACTCGGGTCCGGAAATGCATAGTTTTCAAGATACAGTGTGTCGAACTTTTTAGAAAAAATCGGTTATTTATGATTATCTCAAATATCCTTTCACCGATTCTCACTAAATTTGGCAATGATATTCTTTGTCATCAGGGGCTGATTTAGCCATAATTGAATTGGAATTGTGAAATCCAGTGGCGTCCTGGGGGCACGCTACCGAATATTATTTTCAATAAAATGTGCGCCACTGATTTTTTCAAATTCTACATCGTCATATCCTAATGATTAACTAAGAATACAACATTTTGGTCTCCTGAATTGTTTAGCAATTTTGCTGCGTTTCCGTGGAAAAAAATAAATATCAATTCATTGTCTAAATTTGTGCTAAACGAAGCAACAAAAACAGGGGTGAAATTAAATGTGTGATCCATGTCCATAGACGTAGAATAATAATGAAGATTCGTTTTCTTCAAATATTTCATATTACATGTTTGACACACTTTGTATTATCGGAAACTGCGCCTCCCTGGAGCGAGAATACATAGTTCTCTATATACAGAGTGTAGAGTGTGTCAAACATGTATCAAGAAATATTTGAAGAGAATGAATCTTCATACTTATTCTATGTCTATGGACATTGATCACGCATTTATTTTCACCCCGGTTTTTAAAGGATTTTTTTGGCACAAATTCATGCAATAAATTGGTATTTATTTTTTTCCATGGAAATGAAGCAAATTTTCAGAACAATTCAAGAGATCAAAAAGTTGTATTTTTAGTTGGTCAATAGGTTATGAAGATAAAGAATTCAAAAAAATCAGTGGCGCACATTTTATTGACAATAACATTCGCTAGGTTGTCCCCTGGGACGCCACTGACTTTCATAATTCCGAATGAATTATCGCTATATCAGCCCCTCATGGCAAGAAATATCATTGCCAAATTTCAAGAAAATCGGTGGAAGGACATTTGAGATATTCATAAAAAACCGAACTTTTCTAAAAGTTTTTACACACTGTATGTTGAAAACTATGCATTTACGGACCCACGTACATATGAAATGAAATTCTTATTTTATCATATAGAATCACCCCCTTGATTTTTTGCGCCTAATTTCCGGAAGCAAATAATATAGTAAATATATCTCCAATATCTACAAAAATTTATGATTTTGAAGACACATTACTCAATGATTTGGGTTCAACATTTCTGTATGAAGACATTGACATTTCTGAAGCTATTTGCAACTGAAGATTTGTGTAGGTGATGTTCTCAATAATTTATGTTGAATTTGTCAGCTTTCATGTCTTTATTTCAGCAATTGAGAATACTGTAGATTGCTTGTATGAGTTGTATGGAACTGTTTTTCTTTTGATGTGATAGGTATATTTTTCGTTACCTTGTGTATGAGCATATCATACATGTAGGAAAGAACATTACTCTGCTTGTGTAAAGTATACTTTTTTTACTAAATTTTAAGAGAATATGGACTATTCTTCTAGCAAGTACTGTTTAGTTGGTAATGTAATAATAAATTTTAGTATGTAGACTTCAATGTATTTCATTGTTATTCAAAAAAAATTCCAATACCTACCTCCTATCCCTATCCTCCCTAGGAGCGCACGATGTTCTTTGAACATTATAGGGATTCCCTTTCGTGCGCTCCAAGCGATAAAAAAAATATTCCTTGCAGTCATTTAGGATTTTGGTTATGACAATCTGGCTAGAATTATAGGGATTCCCTTTTGCACGCCTCCAAGAGATAAAAATTTATATTTTAAAGGATATATTGATGGCTCCAGGGTGAATAGTTTTCATTAATGTTATGAGGCAACACTCACATACAAGGTGTTTCAAAAAAACCTAACCCCCTTGCTAGGGTAGGTAGAACATTACAAAATAAGTTGGGTTTGCTCAGTGAAAAAAAATGTCTAACGGCATCCGTTTTCATGATGCAAGGTGTTGAAAAAATTATTTTTTGACACATTTTTCATGATTATTCCGAAACTACTGGCAATATTGTGGTGACATTTTGTATGGAAGTTTCTTGAAATCTGACACATCGCATGAATTTGTTTTTATAACTGACTCTCATAGAGGGCGCTAGTTACACGGTTCGTACCGAGTAGTTTTGAACATAACTTTTTTGAGGTTAGATTTTTCTATCCAAATATGGTATGACTTGAACATCATTCAATTTTACACCAAAAAGATACTCTTGGTGAAACTCGATACTATGTTCCGTTTTCGGAATATTTCGATTTGAAAATAATTGAGTAGTAATGATGCTGGTATAAAATGAATTTTATTGAGTTCAATTACCTATTTATTTAGGTTCAAAAGCAATGAAATTATTTTTGTGCTGAAGTTATTGATGGAACAAAGAATCATAAGTAGAGATATTTGACTAGAAACATGAAATATTGAATCAGTTAGAGTAAGTGTTCAAAATGTCCTACGTTTCGAGGAATACACGATTCTATATTCTTTTTTTAAGAATGTATTATTCTTCTGAACAGTTGAGGATCAGCTGTTAGGTCATTCAAGTGATGTTCAATTATGTCTCACAACTCTTGGCGTGAATTTACCTATGTATATAGCATAGACTTTCTGCTCAAGATACAACAAAACTGTGTAATCCATGTTCTTAGTCAAATCTGTTTCGATGTTATTCTTGTGATTCATTGTTAAATCAATGAGTTTTGCATCAGAAATGTATTGTTGTTTTCGGTTTTCAATAAATAGGTGATAATTTTTCATAATATTCACTCTAATACATAGCTTTATACCAGCAACATTTACCACTTCATCATTTTCAAATCGAAATATTCCGAAAACGGAACACAGTATCGAGTTTTACCAACAGTACCTTTTTGGTGTGAAATTGAATGATGTTCAAGTTCACATAAAATTTGGATTGGAAAATTCAACCTCAAAAAAGTTATGTTCAAAACTACTCGGTACAAACCGTGTAACTGGCGCCCTCTGAGAGTCAGATATAAAAACAAATGCATGAGATGTGTCAGATTCTAAGAAACATCCATACAAAATTTCATCACAATGTTGCCAGTAGTTTCAACATAATCGTAAAAAATGTGTACAAAAAATATTGTTTCAACACCTTGTATCTTGAAAACGGATGGCATTACGACATTTTTTTACTGAGCAAAACCAACTTATTTTGCAATGTTCTACCTACCCTAGCAAGGGGGTTAGGTTTTTATGAAACACCCTGTATAACTGGCCATCCCAGAATGTTTTAAATCACGTGTTTTATGTAGGCATGGTTACTAACACCATACGGCACTTGAGCAATACTAGCTCCCAACAATAGTGCATAGGCCCACTCAAGACGTGCTGGTCTTTATTTTTACTGACCATATCAGTCAACTAGGAATAGCCAACAAATTTCAAATTGAGAGAATGTAGATTTTTCATATTATAACTTTATTTAGGAAATAACATCAATATACAATATCTTAGCCACAAGTTCAAATACATAATTATCATTCTTAAGATTCACAATCATGTTAGGTTGTAAGATTTTTTGAAAAATATTGGACATCAAACATCAATAATTTCCACAAATTTAGAACATCATAAAAAATAATTATATTTCTATAGAATTTCTTCATATAAAACATGCATAAAAGGTACAAATTGACCCCCATTTGGAAATTTTTGGCGCACAAGAATATCCTTAGCTCAAAAAAGGTTATTTTTTCTTTGGATTTTGGCTTAGAACATTATAAACTTACAAGCTAATTCGTTTCAACAAATAAATAAAAACATTAATTATGGTGAAACACTCAACAAATCAGTCTGTGATAATATAAAATGTGAAAAAATACTGAAAAGAGTATCCACACTACTATTAATTGTACCATATTCGAGAATAAGATTCAATGAGCTTTTGGCAGCATGAAAATGCTTAGAATGATATCAACTGAAACTTGAAATTCTCAATAATAGAATATTTAAAATTCCTTACAAATAACAATGTAACTTGGTAAATAAAAAATGAAAAATTTCTGGTTGGAAAACTATAAAAATAATTGTTTTTCATTCGGAAATCTGAACAATATAAAAAATACAATACAACTGATAGTGTGAATTGCCTACACTTAAGGACAGAATGCACAGTAAACGCAGTGAATATAATACCTGGAATATTCCAACTTTTTTAAACTGTTTCATATTCTCTTCTTATAGAACGAGCTAGACAACAAGCAAAGATGACGCCCACAAGCTGAAAAAAAAGTTCATTTGAATTATAAGGTTATCAACCAATCACCCTGAAAAGGCCTTTTCATATAGATATATTTTTAAGACTCATGCGCTCGTTTTTAGATCCAAAATTTGATTGGGTAATGCGAAGGTGAAGTCTCATTGGCTATAGTCCCGACACAAAATTCTGATTGGCCATTTCGAATATGGCGGTTTTTATTGAGGTTCTGTCAAATGTCAACAGTGTCAACCACCATGGGCATTCGTCATTGAGAAACAACATTAACAATATAGTATTTTCGTTTCTATATTCCTGGTGAGTATTAATTGTATTATATTAATTTTAATCGAAAAACCGTTACTTATTCGTTACTAAGGAGTGTGGTGCAAGTGTTTCGGTGAAAATGGCCGCCACTGTCGTTGGATGCGAGATGTAAACACAGATAGTCATTTGTCATCTTAATGAAAAGGCCTATTACTTGACAAATACACACCTGGGAAATGGCTACTCCTATACCAACGCCCCCTATGATGGCTCCATATTTGTTGAAAACGGCCTTCAGTTTCTCGAAGCAGGATGCAGTATAGACATTCGGTGTTTTCAATGTGCAAGAACCGTCATCTTGAGTATTGGGACAACAAGTGTGAGGCAGAGAGTCATTCCTGGTGATCTTTTGCCAGTCTGTAGGGCCATTCATGCCACAACATTCAGCCTGAAACCAGTGTTTTCAGTAATATCTCCTAAGTCTTCGGACCTCCTATTTTAAATTGACAACAAAGTGACCTAACCTGACCCTATGGCTTAGTTGGTTTTGTCCTTGATGCAGACATAAAACTGATTGAATTTGACAAGTATATCTTGAGTCTGGTAATCAGAAAAAGTTATGGAAAATTGAAAACCCATTCAGATTATTGATCCCTAAATCTACGACACTGGGACTTCCATTGTACCCGGAGTTTCTCCAATGTCTATTTGAATAACAACAATAGGGTTGTACACTCTTGTCAAATTTACGCCTAAATTCAATTTTATTTTAATCATTCCATTTATTTTATATTTGATAGTCATTCATTATTTGAAATCATCTCTAATTGTTTTTCAATAATCAAAATAATCGCCTCTCGACAACGCTAGCTTTCGATGACATACCTTTAAGCTCAACAACCAATGAAAATATTTCCACATTCTACATAGAAATAAGAATTTACTTCAACAGTAGCAGTGTACTGAAATGCACAAAACACATAGGTCGTATCATATACAGTGTGACCCACTTCTGATTGAAACGCCCCTGTATCTTACGTTATCGTTATACACTGATCGCCAACAGCCATGGAACCAGTCCAATTTCCGGAAAATGGTATTAGGAGTCAAAATAGGTCGAAAATCACTACAGATTCGGAATCAGGACGCCCAATTCACTAACTATTCATATTGTTCCTGGAAAATTTTCAGTTCTTAAAAATTAAATTTTGTCGCTTTTTTTACGGAAGCACCCTCGTATCTTACGTAATTGACTTTATCTTTGAACTTCCCCTTCCTCCTGCAAATTTCAGAAACCTACCTCAATAATTACGTGAGATACAGGGGTGCTTCGCCATGAGAAGTGAGACAAAATTCAATTTTTCAGAACTGAAAATTTTCCAGGGAAAATATGAATAGTTAGTGAATTGGGCGTCCTGATTCCGAATCCGAAGTGACTTTCAACCTATTCTGACTCCTAATATCATTTTCCGGAAATTGGGGTGGTTCCATGGCTGTTGGCGAGCAGTGTATATCACTGAAGATGACCCCACTTGGTCATAGATCGAGTGCATTTTTGGTATATCTCTCGCTCCAGCAAATTTCAGGATCCTTATCCGACGATTACGTAAGATACAGGGGTGTTTCCATTAGAAGTGGGTCACACTGTATAATTACAATGGATTGATGGCAGTATATATGACGTCACGGGTTGTCCCGCGTTTTTCATGTTATGAATTATCGTGAATTTCAATAATTATTTTAAAAATTTACAGAGTTCTCAGGAGAAAACGGGTTGTACAATTATTGTGCATATGAATTTACAAATTTGAGATTTGTAACAAAATATTGAATTGTCCATCTTCCTCCAGACAAATCAGAATATCTGATAAAATTATGGATTCAACTCTTCAAGAAATATTTAACGATTCTGATCAGCAGCAATATGAAACATCTTCGGGAAGTAATTGTTCAAATTTCAATATGAATTATTATTTCAATAATTGTAATAGTTTTATGATGAATAATCAATTAATAATTGATTCTGTTTAAAATAAATCCTTCATAAAGTAAAATTTCATGTTTATTTTGTGAATTATTTTGGCAGTGAGAAAAGTAAATATTTAGGCATCAATAGAGATTCACAAATGTAAGTTTTCTTACAGTTGTATAAAAAAATAAAAATGGGCCCATTTGGCAGCTTTCAAAAACTCCGATAGGTGACGTACGATTATTTTCTTTCGCGAATACTTATTTTTTGGCCACGTAGAAGTGAACATACATTTTTGATAGAATCTTATGAAATTTCTGAAATTAAAACTGACTTGCTCACATATTTATTAAATTTGTGAGATCCCTTGGAAATAATTGTCGGTATGCCACTGCTATAATCGAATACTTTTTGTAACACCTACAAAATTTATGTTTGTTGCTTCAGTGGCTTCATTTTGTTCTAATAATAAAAAAGAATAATCTAATTATAGATTGTTTTTGATCACTTTCTCCAATCTTCTCAAATCTAGGTACTGTCACTTGGAGGAGAATGTCTATTAAAAGATTAGGAAATACAGGGTGTCCTAAAATGGCTTGGAAAAGGAGCTACCACGTGTAATAGAGGTAAAAATAAGTTGTTCGGACCCCATTCATTTATATACCAAAATGTACCATTTGTCCGAGAGAAGAGTTGAGTTTTCATAAAAAAAAATAATCCTGAGTTGCGTTCTCCAGAAACGTCTAATGTGCCATCCACCGTGAATCACCCTGTATACAATAATTCATCAAATAATCAGCCAGATATATTGCATTAGTCTATCTCTGCGATTAAACCTTTTTATCTCAGCTAAGTTCTTGCCCATGCCTATGAAAATCTGTTTTATAGTAGTTATACTCATTTCCCTGTTCTGTAGTTGGATTTAACCTGTAGAACAGTTTAACAATAAACAATTACAATGTTATTGAATTTGAACTGGGAATATCTGTTAGCATTAAGTAACATCTTAATCTGTCTTCTCGTCAAAAAGAGTTGAGAAGAGAAGAAATTGTCAGGAGGTGAGGGAGTTTCAATCCCTTGACAATTTCTTTTTGGGTTTCTTTGATTACTGAATGGCGAGTAATCCTCTATAATGTACTTTTGTTGATTGAATTTATTGTTTCACTCATTTCTGAACAGGGAACAAATGAGTGTTTTATTAAGTAAACTTTGAACTCTTCTCACGGATAAACGGTACATTTTAGTATATAAATAAATTGGGTCCAATCAACTTATTTTGACCTTTATTACATGTGGTAGATCTGTGTCCCAACAATTTTGGGATTTTTGGGACACCCTGTATAGGCATGCAGGCGATTTGAATGGATTAATCAGAATTCTTCTAAGTAAATAACAGGCAAAAATAATCAATTTTCAATGAGGCATTTGGCTGTTGATGTAAATTTAATAATCTTCCTTGTGAATTATATTCAATTCACCCTAGAACCATCAGAGAAAATGTCAAATATTTGTGGCCAAAATTTTATTTCACAGATCTGAATTCAATGCACTAAAAAATATTTAAATTACATGGAAATTTAATCTGTATATATGTACACCATGTCCCAGCTAAAATGTCCCCCCCTGTAAAAAATCAACCGCGCGATCGAATGACTTGAAATTTGGTCATCCAGTATATTTGATGATGCTCACTGGAAATATGCTATTGAATAAATCGTAGGTATACAGGGTCACACCGAAGTGCACCTCAACTTTCTTATTTGAATAGGAACACCCAGTATATTATTCCATATTCAAGTTGAGTTCATTATTACAAATTCAACAATGCCGGGTTTGATGGGATTTTTTCAAACGACTATGAAGATATGGCAAAAAATCAAATGATTCAATAAAGAATTTATATGATTAGATTTTATTATTTATAAAGAATTTCTTGATAATTTCCCAAGATGGTATGTAACTTATTTCAGTGTTCATTCCATCTTCAAAATAAACCTTCTGAAATGACCTGTATCAATTCAGCTGATGAATTGGATCTTGTTATATGTATTTTAATTGCTTTAACAGCATCAGCAGAAATGTAGGCGTTTTAAAATTGCTAAATAAGTGGTCGTCTTATGAATGATAACAATGAAGTGACCAAGGCTATTTATGTTATCACATAAGAGGTGATAAAAACATAATAGAACCTGTGATAGAAGATAGAACTACTGACAGGAACTGTTTCTTTATAACCACATCCCAAAAAATATAAGTATACCATGCATAATTGATAATATTCTGTAATTTCCTGGAAAAACCCAAAAGGATGTGCCTAGAACAAAGTTATCACGCCAAATATGGTATAAAGGTCACTTTGATGCATTCCTTCACATATTGCCATATATTGTCTGAGGTATAATGGGTATATGAATAACTATTCACCAAAACCACATTTCATCCAATGTAATTTCATCATACATCAAGTTAATTAATTAATTCCTTGATATATTTTATGAAATATTCATGCAAATCAAAATTCTACCAATTCAGTTGATTGAAACTAATCTTATGTGGTATATTGAGTAATATCTAATTGAATAATCAAAATCAGTTCATTATTTTGCTGCACAGTTTGACATGAAGTTGTTTAGCTAGCCTATCTATCTTTCTATATCTACCATATTCCAGCCAAAATTGAAGGCATCTATACCAATTTTATAAAGAGGAAAGATTTGATTGTTTGTTTGTATTGAATAGGCCCCAAAACTACTGGATGGATTTAAAAAATTCTTTTACCATTACGAACCAACATTATCCCTGATAAACATAGGCTACTTTTTACAATGTGAATATGCTTCATTCCTAGGGAAAAACCGAAAACAGGTAGGTAATAGGACAAAGGGTGGTAAGAATTATCCTTCTGTACTTATCTTTTTCACATAACTTCTAAAGGGCTAAACTAATTGGGTTGAAATTTTATATGGGTATTTGAATGGTTTCCTGCTGTCAGTACATCTGGACTAAATCAACTTCTCAAGGGATTGTTGACCCATTGAGTTGACATTTTTAATAGGTAAAACAACAACAAAATATACAAGATACTGAGAAAATAAAAATAGGTGAAAGTATATAATAGTATCTTAAGGTAAGTACAAAAAATTTAAAAAAAAAAACAAAAAAATATGTACAGTAGATAGGGGCATATATATATGGGTGTATCTGGGCATAGCTCAGAACAACTGTAAATAATATCTTTTTTTTTTAAATGGGTATACCTCCAGGTACATCAACCATAGAAAGCAGGATCAGACAGCTAGTATACATATATATTACCAGCGTGAAAGCAGCCACGTCTTCCAGCCACAACTCCGCTGAAATTTTACGGCGCGCTACAAAACACCAACGGTAGTCAAATATTAAAAACGTGGCTGGCCAGCCACAAAATATCTAAAGCCGTTCGAATTTACTGGACACAGATTTTTTCTATCACATACAGT